GCTGTACATTAATCAGGTACTTCAAGGTCCAAGCACCTTTCAATACTAGTAAAATCCATATATTATTCTCATAAAAGCTGATAATAGCAGTACAGTATTACTAAAATCTATCTGGGAACCATGATGCTGTATATTGTGGTTACAAAACACACAGGTCAGTTGAATGCAGATACAATAGAGATTTATTTCTGCACTCAAATCTACTTCATTTTATCTGCTAATTCTAACCTGCCTGAGCAAGAAACATCTTGTATTGATTAGCTGGTTTTGAAGACAATGAATGCTTTTAAAGTACATGACTCAGTAAATTAAGTACTTTCTGCAGTCTTGAATGCTATGTCAAGTGTCTTCTTTACAGGCTGAAGTTCATATATCTCTTTATGTTCGAGTGCTTTCAAGTGTTTTATATTTTACTTACAACTTCCTCTTTCTGCAGTAACTACAGTCTCTGAGCTGTGATTTAATGCTGTTTGTACAGCCCTTCACTGTGAGGCTGGGACATGGTTTAGCCAAGCAATTTCTCCCTCCTACTCAAATAAACCACACATTTTAAGAAAGCACAGCTCAAATATATAATACACTAATGTTATGGGCCCAATGAGGTATAACATAAAGTCTGAGTGAGAGTTGTTCTTTCATAGCCACAGTGTTAAAGTAAAGAACAATAACTCAGGTAACAACTGAAAGGGGCTGCAATGTGTGCTTGTGCTTGCCACATGCTGAGTGTACCTGCTCTCAGCTCCCAGGGGCTCAAGGAGTCACTGAAGCTGCACGAAGCAGTTCCGGAAATTCAGAGTAGCTCCCAACACACTGCAACCACAACACCAGTGCCCGAGTCACCAGGCTTTATCTCAGGCTGAATGTCACTTCTGCTAAGGTAGTGTCAAGCTTTACCTCATGTTTCCATCCTTTCGTCTGCACTAGCAGACAAATTTGTCACACAATATGCTGTCTGTGGAATTTGAGATAATGACAGTAACTGAGAGAAATAACAGGCAAAAACTCAGACTGGATATTGCCCAGGAGTTCAATAACTGTGAGGAGTCCTGTTATTGTAAAATGGCAAAGTGATAAGGGGTGGAGTTTTGTTGTGGGAGTATATTGTCACTCTTTGTTGGTGTTGTGATGATGTGGATTTTTTTTTGTTTTGTTGATGTAAATAAGTCCATGATTAACATGCATGACAATTCGGGTCACTAACACCTCTGACTAACCTACAAAAGGGGATGTTGCCAAACATCATTGATTTGAAGGGACTTTACATGGGCATGATATTAATTTCCTCCTTGGAAAAACATATAGCACTATATACTCTGAGCTTATGTAAAGTAGCATGACAAAGGAAATGGGAAGTTGGCATTGAAATCTATGAATTAATACTCATATCAAAATGTTGAGAAGGGAATCAGGGTGATATACTTCCCATTTACAAGCTCAACCCAAACTATCACCTCCCTCAGCACATGAAAAGGTTGGAAATGGAAATTTTGTACAGTTGCCCTTTACTTTTCTTTGCTGTTGACTGGAGTTGGTAAGGTTTTAAGGGGAGTACTGTGGATATACATCCGCGTTGATAGGAACACTGTGCTACACAGGCTGCTTTGTAAAGGTGTGGCTGCTCAGGGTCTGCACATAGTGATCAAATACCTGACAGCTGCTGCTGCTCCTGTTTTTCTTTTTTATTCAGGGATCCAGCATGAGAGTTGGACTGTGAATACTGTGCTATTATTGTTGGCTCACAAATGTTGAGCTGATGGTATTGATTTTCTGAAAAGATGTTTGGAGCAGTAATAAAAATAAAAGTCAAGAATGATGAGGCTTTACAAATAGCCAATAAAAGAACCCACAAAAAAACTTAGTAAACTCTTGGGCTATTCAACCTTGACAATGTCCTTTTCAATCTGAATTTAATCTTCTCCTCATGCTTTGAACAGCCAACAGCATTTGTTTCTACGCTCACAATGCTCCACTGGCACAAAGGATCACTTTCAGCTACAGCTTGCACTTCTAAGCTTTCACACTCTACAGAGTTTACTCTGGGAAAGCAGAGAGGGAAATGGGTAGTGTAGGACCTGAGTAAATGATAAAAGTCCTCTTCATCAGAAGGAACTACTTCTAAAGTCGGTGGGAGTTCACAGCATGGAGTGTCTGTGAAGCTAGACCCCTTATTAGGCTTCATGTGGTTCTCCCAAGCATACATGCTGTCCTTTTGTAAACTTGGGGATTTACAATGTTTGATTTCCCCATGAGTAGGTGAAAAAATACAGTCATTTTTATTAAAAACTTTATTAGGTTACTAGATTTTTTAAAATACAAACACAAAGCAGTTGATGAGCACACTACCTTTAAAAAGAAATTCGATTTATACTGTGAGATGATATTCCTCAACTGTAGACAAAACTGACATATGATCATTCAATACCTCTGAAAATAAAAAATTAATTATCCAGCATTAAATGCTCCACATGTAAGCTTTCCATAATGGAGTTCCCTGAAGAAAACTGACCTTCGGTGTCTGAATATTTCATTATTTCTGACACAAGGGACTTATGCCACTACTTTTGTTTAAGACCAGAGTAATTAGTCTCATTTTATTTCATTACACCAACAAAAAATTGGACTAATGCAGCTATAAATTAGGTGAAATATTTCTAGAACTACTAAGATAAAAAAGTAAAATGGCTAATATAATGTTCTTTATGGACAGATGCTAACAGTACTAAGTACATGGGATAATGTCTCATCCTACCAGCAGTTGCATTAAACTTACTGGGGTGTAAGTTATAGCATAAAATACAGCATACAGTTACCAGTATCTGACTGTGTGTTTGCACAATTCCCTCTATGAAGGGGTTCCTATCTGGAGATTACAAAAATACACATAAGAGACAGAATAAATTAATGAGCTTTGAAATGTAAGAGAAACACTGAGATAATTGAAATAACAAGATCTCTCCAGGCTCCAATAACCCACCCTGCTTCAACCATTACTGTCTTTGACTGTGATTTCTTTTTCTCCCAGGTGAATTCAAATCAGCAGTGTAAATCTACTCAAACAGTCTCCGAAGAAAGGACTTTTTTGTGGACGTTGCTAACTTCATGGTTTTCTTTTTGCGCAATGGTTTCATGGGTTGCTTTTTCAGGTGCACCACCTTTGGGGGAGTTTGTAGCCCTTTATTAAGGTCAATGTGGTTGTTGCAGAAGTACTTGACATTTGCTTCGGAGAGATGTAGAAGCATGGTCTCTGAGAGATCCATACATTGCGCGTGGACCCAGTGGCCAGTCCCGCTGGAACACAGGATCATTGCAGGCTTGTTGAGTTCAGTCGAATAGAAAGGGACCCAGGAGTTAATGTCAATATTGCAACTGGCACAGCAGGTGATCCAGTAGCCCGTTTCTGATTCATCTTCTTCATCATCCTCATTGTAAGTGTCAGTATCATCAATGTCAAAGCTACTGGCTTCAGCACTAAAACAAAACTCCTCCGAATCTTCAAATGGAGTGGAATCTCCAGGGTCTTCGCTTGATGTCTGACTGCAAATTTGTGTTGTCAATTCTTCTTCCTTGTCCTCTTCTTCTCGTTTGCATCTCAAAATGTAGAAGTAGTTTGCATCTGAGATTAACTGTTTGTTGGCCCCTGGAATGCCCAGCAATACAGACCCTTTGCCCATATCACAGCCAAACCATATTCTGCAGTGTTTAATATCTGGTGTCCACTCTGGGCTCTCCCTTTCAACAATCTTTATCTTACTGTCTTCCAGAACTATGGTGTTACACACCAACCGTTTCTCGTTGTCAGAGTGGTAGCCACCGACAAGGACAAACTCGGTATCACTGATTTGAGTCACTATAGCACTTGACACTGATATCCGCCCTGGCAAGATGGTGCAGGTCACAGATGGGCTGCCCAGTGGGAGATCAACTTTTAGCTTGTACAAGTTAGGGCACCTGGTGTTATTTTGAAGTGAATGGCCTCCCAAAATGTAGATCGTATCATCTCTGGCGATTGAAACGTGGAAAGAAAGTCCATCTTGAAGCTCTGGAAGCATGTATGATGTACAGCATCCAAACTCAAAATCAACAAGAAACACAGATGGCAAACAGTCAACTACGCTGTTCCATTTTTCAGTGGTTCTTTGTGCAAGAGGAGTATACGATCTCCCTCCAAATATAGCACTCATGCTTTTTCCCCGGCTATGAACTACACTAATTGTATGCCCATATCTACCTTCAGGGACATCTCCACCCAGGTCTTTCTCAATGCATTGGAGCGTCATTTTCTTGCTATTTTTGCTTACCAGACTTACAAAGTAAATCTTATCAGAGAGGTCATTGTTAGGTGTTTTACCACCATGGATGATATACTGGTACTCATCAGACTTTGCATTGCTTCTGAGTGTGCAAAGAGCAGGGTAGCGGAGAGGGGGAAGGTAACATGAGTCTTTGGAGAAGGCGGCAGGTTTCATTTTGAGCTCATTCTGCTTTATATCGAGGAGGAAAACACCAGTGGGGCAGGATCTCTTTGGCCATCCTTTCTGCCCAAAAAAGAAAACATGCCCATCAAAATTCAGGAGAGAGAAGCCTGGCTGAAGCAAGGATGAGTTACTGACGGCTGATACCATCTGCAGTGACATTTCATCTGTCGACTGGGCCATATTGTGGCTTCGAAAAGAAAAAAAAAACACAAAAGAAACAGATCAAACATGTATTATACCCTATGAGAATTATTTAACAGTACTTGAATAAATCGTATTAAAATTGTGCTTCAGCTCACACTTTGAGAACCGAAAAGACACCCTTTCCTGGGACTCAAGAGATGAGTCAAACATGAGCTGTGTGCCAGTTATGCGGGATTTTCTACAAATTATGGCCTTTTGGCACGGAGATCACCGATGCGCCGCCAGCGCTACGCTTGGGCGACCCCCAGGGACGGGCGCGGCCGCTCCCATGGGAACGCGGTCCCGCGGGATGCTGGGGCCAGTAGTTCTCATTGGGCTGCCCGGCTCGGGGCCGCTCTGCTCGGCTCGGGGCTGCACGGCCGCCAGTTGGCTCGGCCCGGGCGTGGGGCATCGGGCCCGGCGGGGTGAGCGGGCCGGCGGCGGGTCAGTGTGGCCGCGGGGCCGCTCTGCTGGCGGCAGGATTCGGCTCCGGGGCGCCCGGGGGCGGAGGGAGCAGCCCTGGCGATGCCGCAAGGCGGGCTGGTTCCTGCCCCTTGGTTGTCCCGCGGCGGGCGGGGGTACCGCGCTGGAGCCGCCCGGGGAAGGGGCGCGGATCCCCGGCCAGGGCGCCGGGGGCTGCGGGAGCCGCGTCTGCCCGCGCCGCCCCCGATCCCGCGTCCCGAGCGGCTCCGGCTCGCCCGGAGCGGCAGGAGATCGGGGGACTCCTGCACATCCAGGTCCCTGGCCAGGAACATGCCCCAGTGCCCTGTGGCCAGTGGGCTGAAGTGCGTGCACAGCCGATGCAAACTTCAGTTACACGGTTTGCAGGGTTACAAGGGGGGGGGGGGGGAAAGGGCAAGATTTGTTGGATACATTTAGAAGCAGTGATGCCCGCTCTGTTTCTAACCGTGCAGGTATCACTGAAGCGGCAGAGGCTGTTAGTGCCAGGGTGAATCACAGAGATCTGGGTGGCTTGCGAGTCTCCTTGCGGTATGTTTTTGATGTGTGGTCGAATTCTTTATCTTTCACGTTTACTATTTGCTCATGCTTTCACGAGTAGGTTTCAAGGGGTATCTTTTATAAACCTGTTTGTTCTAAAACCTAAAAGAGTTCATGTAGTCAGCCTGGGTAATAACACTGAAAGAGCTTTGGAGAGCACAGACACCAGGGAGGGAAATAACTGGCCTATTCATCGACACTGTCCTATGGTGACAGCAGAGACGTGCCTTTTAGTAAATGTCCAAGTTCTCTGTCCCAGCCGTTGCCAAATCCCCAAAATTTAAAGATGTGAACTAAATATTAGGAAAAAACCTAAATCCTTTTACATTTTAAAATGTAATTCCTTGTTTTGAAATCTTTAGGATTCATATTGTCCTTGTTCCTGCTTTTCATTTTGCTGTAATAACAAAAACAAGACACACAGGATTTCTTTTTTAAGGAAGGATCAGTATCTTCTGGTTATGTGATATCAGATCTCAGGGAATCAGGAACAACATTGCATACAGGAAGAGTCACTGTAAAAACATGGGAACTGATGACACTGACTACATCAAATTGCCATGTTGTACCATATTCCTGCACTGCCTGCCCGCAAACTGGTATGCAAACTGCTGTGCTAAAATATGGATCTGCAATGGAATGCTTTCAAAAGTGAGATGTGCTTAGGCCAGAGCACACAGACGGAGTAGGTATAGCTGTTACTGAGTCCATTTGAAAAACAATCCATGGAATTTTGTCTTACAAAATTGGATGTTGTGGAATCATCCAAAGATTATGGTCAAGTTCTGTTCACTGTGCCGGTCCTAATGCCTCTTCCCTGAAGGTAGTAGTTTTTTCTACATTTAGATTCCTTTTAGAAGTACTGCACTGTAAGTTCAGTTATAAGTTAATTAAATTAGTGAACCCTGTTCTGAGCATGTCAGTACACACAGCAGGTTTTGTTCTTATTATGCATGAAGAAAGATTTGCCAGGTTATTTACCTTCAGGTGATATGCTAAATAGGAATCTCTGCTGCTTGTTCCTTACAAGGATTCAAAAATGGTGTCAGAGGAGCTTGCACTAAATTGGGTTTACTGGATTAGATGTCCTTTGTCTCTTCTTTCATGTTGGTTAATTACTTCTTTGTTTTTAAAGGATCTTTAGAAAAGTAAAATGTCCTCCATACTGAGGATGCCTTAAGAAAATTAGTGTTCTTTATGATCAAATTAGTGTTCTTTATTTTGTAACACTAGTGTTCTACATTTGATTGCTGGTTTATATTTGAAGTCTAAGATCAGTGAAAATTATTAAAAAGTGAGATTGATAGATACAAGTAAATAAACACACTTAAACACACTTCCTCCTTGTCATCTCGTAATATTTCTTGAACTTTACATAAGCAAGCAGTTCAGTCAGTAACAGAGAGAATATTTATCTGAGATTTTTGACAGACATGGCTTCTTAGGCACTTGCTGGAGTTGCTTTGGCTTTCTGTGTTTTTTTCATGCTAATTACAGTGTGTTAACACAGTGTGGTTGCTCTTTGGCTATGCTGACCTCCACCTCTAACCTTCCAATACCACTGGTTCCTTTGGGCTTGTCTGACCCTGAACAGCTTCAGGGAACCCAAAAGGTAAAACTCTAACCTCATAACCACAGAGTTTAAAGTGTTTTTGGTGGTTTTATGCTCAAAACTGTGTCACTGTGGAGTCGGATTAGCATTAGAGTTAGTGCAGAGGGAAACAGATGCCTTTGTTGTGGTGCAACACAAGTTACTGGGGAAAAGACACTACAAGAAGATAAATAAATAGAGAAGGGTGGAATTACCAGTTATGGTGACTTGAGTCATGCTTCATCATATTTGGTGTTTTTATAAAAGGTAAAGGTGCAAGGATTATACAAATATATGAGAATCTCAGCATTACTATTGTAACGCCTGTATTTGAGAAGCAGTAGAGACCCGAGTTAAAAGCTAAGCTAACAGAAAGAAGAAAACTAATATTCTTCCCTATTTTTTTTAAAAATCAAACAGTATTTTGACCAGGTTTTTTGGGGTAATAGTTGTTTGTATGGCAAGATGACATTACAAGGAATTCAGATTTATGTTGGTTCATTGGCAGATACATTTACAGAAGGATCAAATGAAGAGAGACGGTGCTTTTTAAAAGCACTAGCTAATGTAATTTGAAATGTGCTTAGTATGGAAATAGATGGATATAGTTACAATTTTGTGTGGTGTATCATTTCAGAAACTATAGTAAGTGTTCATGGAGAACAGGATGAATGTCTTTTAGAAACAAGTGTTAGGATTCAGTCACCTGAACATCAAGTGACATTTCATATACCTTTGGATATTCTTCCTTGTCTTCTAGCTTCTGCTATGGAAGGCAAGTTTCCCATTGGTTCTGTGTCCCAGGTCCCATAAATCTAGGGTTTATAAAATGTCGCTAGATTACAACGTTTAGGTACTGAGTCACTCCCAAGCTTATTGTCCTTTTTGGCTCCATGTAGAAATTGTTCACCTATGTGCTTTGCCTGTTACCTGATTAGGCAACAAAAACATTCTAATCAGGAGAACAATGAATAATCAGTGCTGCTGTTTGGTGTGACATCTCATATTTTTTAACGTTAAAAGTACCGTATTTTTAATAATTTAACGGTAATTTGAATGCTGGCAAATAATGAATGATGAATGAGTTGACCTTATGAACTGTAGCAAACCCAAAGAACCTTTTTTCATTTACATAAAGATAAGATATTTGAGCAGTACTGATTGGACACTGAGAGAATGGATTGCAGGATAGCGTGGAGTCTTAGTTGGTATATGCCCATTGCTGACCATTAAATTCATTAGTTTGCAATTATTTTTAATTTGACATGAACACAAATATTTATGGTAGGATTAAATTTATTTGGCAGTATTGTATTCTTTTTCTCTAACTGATCTGCTTTTTCATTTCCAAAATGGAGAAGCATACCCCTAAAAAGCAAGTGCTGTTTCCAAATTCTCCACAATCAAAATCATATCCAGACACTCAGAGAGCTTTGAAATCCTCCATAAACAATCTTAAGGAAGGAGTTTTTTTTATATAGTATTTCTCCAAACATATACTGAGTGTATCAACCAAGTTTGCTTTGGGCAAAACAGTAATTTAGACATACCTGGCTGATAGTGGTTTTTTGCGTCCTCCGAAATCTTTCTGCGTAATTGGGATTCAAATGTGAGCAGTTTGAGGAATCTTCTCTGACAGCACAGGGGGCTCGTGGCAAAGAGAGACAGCCTGATGGAGGGGAATCTATCTGCTTAATTTGCAGATATGCTCCTGAGAACTCGATCTGCTGTGGCTAACAGGCTGTGACTGTTTTTTTTTCTTTCCTCTCTTGTCTTTAGATGGCACAACAAGAAACCCACCAGCCTCCAGAAGCTTTAACTCTTTGCAGTAGAACAAGATTAGAGTGGCAGAAGATGTCTCTTAGTTAGATTGTAAATGTCCACAGCGTACACTTCTTTAGGGTTTAATTTTTTGTACTGCTAAACCTGTCAACCTTGTGATCTTTTTCGGAATATTTCAGTCCTATTTTAAAACGTAATTTAAAGTAAATTTTGAGTTAAAAGAAAAAATAATTTTTATAACTAGTAAAAGAAAACAACTCTTGCTGACTGGCATATTGCTTCTTTCCCCAGGAGTGCTCTGCCCCGAGTAAACAATGACATTGAAACAGAGCAAAGTAAATGACAAATGCATGCAATTCAGTGAGTGAGGGCTGACTGAAAGTCCAACTTGAAGTCCACTAAAGTAATTAGAAATGTCTTTTTTTTCTACTTCAGTGGCCTTCTGATCAGACCTTAAAAGACTAATAAAACTTTGCACCCTTCTGTGGCATTTTTCATCAGTTTCACAATGCTTTTCTCCAACAAAAAGTAATTAGACTCTGTGAAGTCCTCTGGGAACATGTCCTTTCAACAGCTAGCAGTGCTGGGGCACAGAGGATAAGCTGCTTGCATAACATAGCACAACAAATAAACAGAAAAACTGTGAAAACAATTCACTCTTCATAGCTTCCTGCTTTTGTTTTCCTGGCCCTACTTCACCCACTCCTGAGTTACAACATCTGCTTCACAGTATTTTAGAAATATCTCAACTCCCATTTGAAACTGCTGTGAGAATAGAAATAGAAGGAAATGGAATTTGATTAGTACAGCAAAGCAAACATACCAAATGTTTGTGAAAATTGTCTTGAGACTTTGAATAACTGTAATGCAGATAGGATGTGGTGACTTTTCTCATCTGAAATACAGCAGTGCTAAGGCACTGTGCTCTGTAGCATCCATATAGGCTTTTTACTTCTTTACTGAAAAAAGATGAAAGGAGACTGTACTGCAGAGTTGAATGCTGAAGAACTTTGCCCAAATTTAAAGGCATTCAGATCACATTTATTTTCAGTAGGGCCTAGATAATACTTGACAGCTTCTTATCTAAGTGTTTGACATAGTCTGACCCTTGTTTGGGTCTGTGATCAAAGATGCACTGGAAAAAAACCATACAAATGTTTAAGTGAAAAATCCAACCCCCAAATTGTGTCACATTAATATTTTACATTCATTTTACTCTCTTTCTGCCAGTTGACATGCCTTATCTTTAGAAATTCTTTTTCCAATTACTGTGGTTGAGGAGACGGAGAAATTAATATTTGTTGGTTACAGCATGTCAGTTTTGGATGAGGACATGGTCTGTCCAAGCTGGTCTCTGTAACTGTAAATGACGAAGTGCTTTAGAAAAGCTGCAGCAAGTAGCTTCAGAATAATGTACTTACAAGGTAGGAAAACCATGTTCAAAACTGTCCAGGTCATAGCAAGAACATCTTGGATTTGTATCCCGAATTCAACTGGCAGAGAACCCATGTGAAAATGAATAAATAAACTTTTCCTTCCCAAATTCTATTCTAATAACATTGACATAGGTAGTATGTTTTCAGCAGATTGCTCTCTGTTATGGAAATGCTTTGTTTCACTTGATTTTCTACAATTAATTTCTTAAAATAATATGTAGTTTGCATCTTTTTCATCTCAAATCATTCCAAATTGCATTGAGATATTTCTAGGCTTTTCAACATATTTTCTACCAGTAAAACAGAGTCATCTCTGAGCTGGAATGTAGGTGGCTTCCTGTGGTTTGCAGTAATGCATTCCAGCTCAGCAGGGAAAGAGAAGGCCGCCTTACTCATTTGTGTGGGGTTTGCCAGCCAGAATGCAAATATGCTGGATATTTAGCCAGGACACCCAGGCTGAAACCTGTGAAAAAGGGCATGGGGAGTACAGCATCCTACAGTCTTCAATTTTCTGTCTCATCTAAAAGCAACAGTAAACAGTATTTAAGATGTGAGGGAGAGGGTTTTATTTGGAGGTCTTATCTAAAATAGCTGATTGAATCCAACTGTGCGTTGACTGTCAAATCCAGGATGATCATCTTCCAGGGCGCAGTGGCTACTGCGGTTTGGAGGAAACATTACCCTTGCCATAGGCCTCTAGACGGTCTTTAAAGGGTGCAGTGCTTTTGAAGCCATTGAAAATTCATTAAAAAAACTTCTGCTCAGGTGTGGGACTGATATATTAGCACTGAAATTAAACAGGATGAATGTGCTTGCTTACAATTAAAGCCCTTAGATGTAAAAGCTCATATGAGCTGGGCACGAGAAGCATATGTTTTTGTCCATCACAGAGGTTGGCTCTCAGGCTCAGTAATGCACTTAGGCAAGCAGATGCAGCTCCCATCCACACAAATTGCTGTTGCATTAAGTGTGTGCCCTTAAGGCCTCCTGCGGAATGCAATGGCAAACATCCAGTTGATTTTAACGGGATTAGCTGTTGTAGATCACATTGAATTGAGAGATGCTGGAAGGAACCTCATCTGAAAGGTTTTCTCCTTTGCAAATGAAACTTTTAGTTTGTTCCCTTAGTTCAGTTGACCTGCACCTGCTCATGGGCACAGCTTGCTGCTGTTCGGTTCGCTCCAGGAGCTCTGCCTCCCACAGGTGGTGTGGGTAGCAGGGAGGAGGAGGGAGGAAAGTAAGGCAGGACAATAGGGCAGGGAGGGCTTTGTTTTGCAACTGTAGCTTTGCAGATGTCTAGACAAGAAGGAAACGGTTGGCTGTCTTCAGGAAAAAGGGTAACCTTCCTCTGCTGACTGACTGAAAATGTTTTATGTTTTTCTTGAGCAGGAATTGAGGTTAGCTCAGTTGGTGAAAACTTGGTGCTAATAACTACAAGGTCACGGGTTCAATCCCCTGTATGGGCCATCCAGCTCTTGTTGGACTCAGAATATTGTGTAAATTTCCAGAATCACTCCTTTCCCTTTGCCCTCTTTTAAAGCACCATCCTGGGATGTTTGTTAAGGTAGCAGTCCGTATCTAACAACAAGAATTTGTTAAGGACAGGCTGGAATTCCAGCTCTGCCTGCCTCTTTGCACCATGGGAGCTGGTGATCTACACTCCAGGCTCTGGCTCTAGCTGTGGTGAGTGTAGGAGTGCCCTGGTAACATCTGCGTTTGCTAGTGTGGAGGAAGCACAGCTTTCTGGGCCATTTGTGAGGAGTGTTCCTAATGAGGCTGTGCTTTCACGGTTGCATAAACAACTATGATAGGCTGCCAAAAGGGCAATCCTGCATCCTTCCCTTGTTCCTACTGCGTGTTCCCACTGTCTGCTTGTACAGGCACGATCATATGGCTGTAAGGCAGATCAGGAAACGTGTATTTAAAACAATTTATGCATTTGCTCAGTTTAGCTTCAGGTTTTATATTGGAAGTTTATATTGTCTGGCCAAGAAATGGACTGGAGTGAAAAACCTAAGGGTGAAGAGGAAGAGAAGGTGGTGGTGGCTTTTTTGGGAGGAGCCAGGATCTAGATAAGCTTAAATTGATTCTTACAGCACTCATCTGATACAGGCTTATTCTTTTTGCAAAGGTACTATCTCATTCTTCATTGCTGTAAGAATATTGTAGCAAATCCATACTCCTCTAGAGTCTGATGATGATGATCTCATTCTTCATTGCTGTAAGAATATTGTAGCAAATCCATACTCCTCTAGAGTCTGATGATGATGATCTCATTCTTCATTGCTGTAAGAATATTGTAGCAAATCCATACTCCTCTAGAGTCTTCATCACTAACTAATGTGGTAAACAGCAGTAAGACAGCAAGGAGTGGAAATCACATAATTTTGCTCCAAAATTAACTAGTTTGCTCTTGCAGGTTGAGTTTACTTTAGTAACAATAAAGGACCTAACAATATAGGACCCAGGTCATTTATTTTGTGTGACTAAACCAGTTTTCTTGAGCAAGCTTTACACAAGTATTCCAGTGCATATATTACGTGGGATGACCTCTCCAGTACCGTTGCCTAGAGGGCAGAGTGGGATGTTACAGGGTTTTTTGTGGGAGACATCATGCTGTTACATAGCTTCTGGAACAGGTTGGAGGGGACTCTAATGTCCTGAATCATAGTGTGCTTTCTCATTATCCTTAGTAAACAGGAAGCATCTCTGTTTTTGTACTTGGTCTCCTGACAGTTTATTGCACTCTTAAGACTTGCCTGTACATCTGCGCTATTGCCAAACTATGTGAGCAGCCAACCTTCAGGGACAATTTCTGCATTAGCAGCCCACCTCTTCACTATGACAGCTACTATGAGCTAGTTGCTGAACTAGCCAGCCCAAGAGAGTCCCCAGAATCAGGATCTTCATGTAGACTAGACTGACTTGTAAAACCTTTATGGATGAGAGATGTTTCGGAAGTGCTTGTTGCTTAGGGTTACTTTTATGAGAGGTTACTTAGATCTGAAAAATGTAAACACCCCTTTGAAAAAAGCTAGTTGTGACAGGTATAATTACTGTGATAGTTTTATAGGGGAAAAAGGATTGAGCAGGTACTCTGGTAACAGACTGTAAGATTTAAAATAATGTCTTTGTGTTTAGTCTCATTTTTGCAGACATAGATTACACAATCTTGATAACAGGTGTACCTAGTGGGTATTTTTCATGAACCTGTGAGTGATCGATAAAAAAAACTTTATGAATAACCCTATTTTTTAAAATTGAGAGTGAATTCTGGGAGAGCAAATTCGTAGCTTGAAAACCTGACTTGAGCCTATGCCAGAAATGCTAGTGAGGTATTTTTTTTCCCAGAAAAATAAAATTACATAAGATTTTACTGAGTTTGTAGAGAGGATTAGCTTATTGCTCCTTCCATTTAAAAATTCAGAATCTTGATTTTTTTTTCACTGCCTTTATTATATTTAAGAGAAACATAATAAAGCACTTGAAAATGCAGCATAAACCAGGAAGCCTATATTTCACCACATTTTGTATTGTGTAATAGAACTGATCACTGCATAATCGAAATCATGCTAATATTCACTTGACCTGCCTCTGTGATTCAATACAGGGACCTCTGATTTGTTCTAAACTGCTGGAAAGAAGACTGCATTTTGAGAAATAAAATTGATTTTGCAGTATCTGCTGATGATCAGCAAGGCCTAATGAACAATTACCTCAAGAAACCTCATTAAAGTTACTTGGGTGAATGAGCAGGAGTGAAATGCAAAAGGAGAAAACATAGTTGCTGTTTGAATGCATGAATGATATTTGACTCTAAAACTATCCAAAGTCAACACAGGGAAAGGATCAGATATTCTTGCCTTACTTTCCTTGAAACCTCCAAGTTAGTTTGATGCCTTTTGGGAAAAATAGGGTAAGTTTTTGATTTTAATAATAGCTACTCTCTAGCAGAACAATGCAGTCATTTAATTCCTAGTGGTATCATTGTATCCACTTTATAAATTGTGGGGGTTCCAATCCGTTAGTGTACATTTTTTTCATGACTATTTAAAGAACTCATTGCCTTGAGGCTGTGAATTGTGTGATTGCTGAAGCCCTTTACTTATGTAGAATTTACTGGTGAGCTCCTTAGCACACGTGAGAGTCTTCTAGTCATCCTGGTTTCAGCTGTTCACATCAGAAAGCTTCTCTGCAACTGACACAGCGTGGTATTCATTTAAGAGAGATTCGGGAATAAAGTAGGTGGGAGGCAGCAGAAAAGCAAAATGAAATTAAAAATACCAAAACCTTGGTAGGTTGAGATAAGTTTTTGAACGCTATTGTACCGTTCATTCTAACCATATGTTCAGTTTCAGGGGGAGTAGATGTTCTCCAAATACCATCCTCTGTGCTTGCTTTCATTTAGCGTGATGCTATAGCGCCCTGCGGTTCTTCAAACTAATTGAAAACGGGGGACAGGTAGTTTCAGCTGCCAGTCTCTCCTCTCTATTGTTTGAGTGAATGGCTGTTTTTCTGACAGAACCTAAGCTCTCATTAGGACCTAGCTGATTTTTCTGCTCCATGAGGAGATGATTCTGTAGACCTCAATAACAGCTGTGCAAGGGAAAATCTGGAGTGAAGTTTCCTAAGTTCTGTAGGAAGTAGAGGCTGCACGGCAGAGTAAGAATTGAGATGTGTAATTTTGGTGCCACCTGATCTGGGTGCTCAATCTCAGGCTGCTGATCCAATGGTTGTAGAGCATGGCATTCACTGAGAAAACTGTCTCAGCTTGGTTAAGAATACAACTATTCCCCCAAATTGCATATTAATTTTCTAGTTTCCTAGAGCATTTTAGGATGAAGTAATCTAAGCTTTATTATCAGCCCTCCACTGATCTGTTTTCAAGTCATTTAAACTCCTGGTACCCCTTTTTTTTAATCTGTTATTGGGAATAATATTTGGTGCCCCTTTTTTTTAATCTGTTATTGGGAATAATATTTGTTTGCTTTTCCTCATGGGAGTATTGTTAAGTTTGTTTCATTAGTGTTTATAAGGGGCTTGGAGATCCTAGACACCAGATGCCGAAGAAAAACAAAAGTTTGTTATTAACATTTTCTTAATTAATATATAATTTTACAGTAGCCTTACAAATCACTGTGTTATTTCATATAATGAAATTACCTTAAACAATGATTTTAATAATTTATCCATAATGATGAATAGAAGACATTGCTTCCCTCTCAAACCACTGTAATACATAAATCACTCTGAGAGTCTGGTGAATTATATTCTGCTTGGTCAGTCCACAGAGAGATTAATGCTGATTTGATTTTTGTAAAACATTAGAAAACTTAAACTTTAGGTCATGTGGATATGCGTGTATTTTTATATCTTCAGAACATTAGTCTTCCTTACAAGCACGCAATCCAACAAAATTAGAGTTTTACATTTGAAATTATCCTTCATTTTCCTGCTGGGGTCTGAACAATTCTTTTTAGATCTTATATAACTTTAAAATCATGTTGGCAGCTTTTCCTTAGTGTAGTTGATTTGAAGTTTTGCTGAAGAATTAAGCTTTCATCCTCAAAATCCACTTCTTAATGCTATGTTAAATCAAGAGAGGAAACAGAGGAACGCAGGCAAATCAAGCACTTAGTGTATAATGCATTTTTGCGTCTTGATCATGTTTATGTATGCAAACTGATCATTTGCATTTTTTATTTAAGTTACTACTCTGTGAGACAGTGTGCCTGTTATGTGTGTCCATGCCCTCACCTGTGTTTTTCTGCTTACAGTAGTGTGGACCCATGTATATAAAAAATTAATAGTATAAGTAACAGTTTAGGATCACACAGCTTTTATAAGTAAGGGGCAAGGTTAACTTCAGCAAACTTCACTGTGAGCTCTTTCAGGGCCATTACTTCCTGTAGAGTCTGGTTAAGTGATGAAGATCGGCTGGAAAGCTGTTACCGTGTGACTCTCAAGTCAGAAAAGCCTCTGTGGGTTTCCCTTAGCTCTCATCATTTGTTCCCTTCTCGAGAGTGGTCCTCCCATGTGGCTGCCCCTTTCCACCATACTCCCCTCTCCTGTGTGTTGTCTCAACATACACACACATGCCATCGTGATTTAACATGCTGTTCAAAATCTGGGTTAGTGGCTTTGATGGTACAGTGAGCAGTGCATCTGGAGAATGATGGATTCAGTCCAAGTTTTGAATGTACAGATGTCTCAGTTGTTAAACGCAACATGCTAGTGAGTGTTGTTGCTGTTTCTGCACAGAAGGCAGGGGTTAAAAGACTGAACAACTTAAAATGAGGGAATGAACACCAATGAGAGAAGATGGCACTTCTGTGACCCATATTAGCTGAGGTCTTAAATTCCAGGCATAGATAATTGAAGTTTCTCCCTTTGTACTTAAAATTTCTCTATCTGCTTGAATTTTTTGGGAATTGTGTAAAGTTCCACTGACAAGATCAGAACTTCACTAGGAGAGAAGAAAAATTTGACTTTCTGCTGCCCATCTATGTGAATTAGGGACTCTTCAGTTGATTTGCTTTTTGCCTGCAGATACATATGGCTCTTCTCTTTCTATTGCAGAAGCAGCCTACTAAAGGAAATCCACCTGTTCGACTCTCAAGGTGAGGATCATGGGAGAACAACTGTTAGAGAACAGCATCCTTGATCAATTTATTAATAGCCATGAGCAGTCACATGAAGAGTTTCTAAATACATTCACCTGTCTTTTGAAAGGTATGTAACTTCCCAAATCTCCCCTTAGAAATCACAGACAGAAGGGAAGGTAAAAAAAGAAGCAGTAGTATCTAGTGTTTTTCTGCTTCTTACTTGCTTTGTGACCTTAGGCAAATCCTTGTGATGCTTTTGTTTCTCCGCTCAGCAGTGGGAACCCTAAGGACAGCTTTCCTTAGACTGGTTCACAGACAGCTAAGGTAGGTCTGTACTGGTGGGTAACCACATTTTGCTTGCTTTAGGGTGGTGAGGGAATTATCCTATGGAAGGATAGATGTTTCATAAGTACATCCTGCACTGTTTTGCTTGAAAAGTTTCCATAAGAGAAGAGCCTAATTAAAGTACTTAATAGTATGAGATGGCCGAGATTAGGGGTGTGCAAAACTTTCACAGGTTTACTAACACTAGCCTGCTGTGCTGTGCCTGTGTGTTTGCCTTCTACAATGTGATTGCCTTCTGGGATTAAACAACTACCTGGAGGGATGAGGGGAGAGCAGTGGATGTTGCCTACCTCAACTTCAGCAAGGCCTTCGACATCATCTCTCACAAAATCCTTGTAGACAAACTCAGGAAGTGTGGATTGGAGGAGCAGGCACTGAGGGGAATTGAGAACTGGCGGAACGGCAGAGCTCAGATGTTCATATTCAGTGACACAGTTGGAGGCCTCTAGTTGGAGGCCTGTCACTAATGGTGTCCCCCAGGATACAATACTGGGACCAGTCTTGTTTAACTTATTCACTAATGACTTGGATGAAGGGGCAGATGTGTCCTCAGCAAGTGTACTGACAACACAAAGGTGGGAGGAGTGGCTGATAACCCAGAGAGCTGTGCTGTCGTTCAGAAGAACCTTGACAGGTTGGAGAGATGGCAGAGCAGAACAAAGGCAAGTGCAGGGTCCTGCATGTGGGAAAGAATAACCCCAAGCACCAGTACAGGCTGGGGGCCAACCTGCTGGAAAGCAGCTCTGTGGGGAAGGACCTGGGGGTCCTGGTGGAAAACAAGCTGTCAGTGAATCAGCAGTGTGCTCTTGTGGCCAAGAAAGCCAGTGGTGCACTAAGAAGAGCGTTGCCAACAGATTGAGGGAGTGATGCTGTCCCTCTAGTCAGCTCTGGTGAGGCTGCAACTGAAGTACTGTGTCCAGTTCTGGACTGCTCAGTGCAAAAGAGACTTGGAGCTCCTGGTGTGGGTCCAGCAAGGGGCGACAGATGACTGAGGAACTGGAGCATCTCACTTAGGACAGGCTGAGGGAGCTGGGCCTGTCTAGCATCATGAAGAGATGATTGAGAGGGGACCTCATCAATGTATATAAGTATCTGAAGGGAAGATGCCAAGAAGATGGAACCAGGCTCTTCTCGTTGGTGCCAAGCAATAGGATAAGAGGTAATAGGCAGAAACTGATGCACAGGAAGTTCCACCTGAATATGAGGAAGTTCTTTACTGTGTGGGTGACTGAGCACTGGAACAGATTGGCCAGAGAGGTTGTGGTGTCTCCCTCACTGGAGATACTCAGATTCTATCTGGATGCAATCGGGCGGACTGTGCTCTAGGATGACCCTGTTTGAGCAGGGAGGTTGGACCAGATGACCCTCTGTGGTCTCTTCCAACCTAATCCAACTGTATCCATTCTGTGCTGAGCTAATAGGTAACTTGGATGAAGGCACATCAGATTAGATGATTGGGCTGAAAAGGTCTCATGCTCTGCAGATGAAATAAAAGGTGGTGCTTAACCTTGATCTCAGCATTGCTTAATTACGGGATTTGAATTCTGTAGCTTGTATTTATTTTTAGCCATGTTAAGTCCGGTGCCATAAAAATAAATACAAGCTACTCACAAATCTCTTTACCACCACTTTGCACTAAAAATGATGTTCTCATATTATTGCAGAAGCACTGTATTTTTCAATTACATCATGTGGCACGCTCCATTGATTGGCATTCAGTGGTCTGTCCTGTCCTTGTCCTTCAGGCAGAACTAAGTGTCAGTCACAGGCACTGAACAGAAAACCATTGGGGGGGAGGGTTGAAGCTGCCACAGAAATAATCTTTTGGCAACTTTCTGTCTATCCTCCCTATAAAAAATAGAAGAGCAAGGAGACACTGGGAAATGAGATAAGAAGATTGAAAATCCAGTTGTGGTCTTCTTATGTATGATTGATACACTGGGGATAGCTGCTATTGTAGAAGCATGCTGCTTATCATGGTGCTACTTGCAAAAAGCTTCAGCATGTGTTTCAGTAACTTTCATTGTCACTATAGCATTTGCCACTAAAATTGTATAAACGGTAGAGCTTTACCTGAATCAAATGCTTAGAAATGCAGGTATGATGATATAAACTAAACAACTCAGCTTGTTTTCCTCCTACCTTCATTTTCCTTTAAAAATACCCAAGGTGCTAGTTTGCATTATGAACTAATAACCTGCAAAAATTCCACTTAAAGCATAAGGCATTTTAGCATCAGAACAGTGCAAAATATTTTATAAAATATCACATTGTTAGTTTCTTAATTTTGCATTTGAAAAATAGTCATTTGACTTTAATTTTTTTTTTTTTAAAGCAACTTACCTGGTAATAGAATCCAGAAGTTTTCACTTTGGTGTAATGAGATCAGATATTTACTGTGGAGATATATTTGTGGTTACTGTCAGGCAAAAAATCTTACTATTTTCAGATTACCTCTCTAAATTTGGCCTTGATAATGGTATTGACCCCCCCACCAAATCTTTGTACAATGAGCATTAATGTGAGAATTTGCAGTTCTGCCTAATTAGATATGGAGATAGCTATTTGTATACACAAATAACCAAGCATAAATATATAGGAGGACTTTAAAAAAAATCCTTGGAAAACATGGTCATCTGATAGATTTTTGTTTGTCATAACATTGGAAACAGAAGACCCCCCCCCAAAACTAATTGGATCCCATTGATTTCACAGGGTAACAGATTTATAGAAGGTGATTTTCACTTGCTTATGAATTTGTCCTGGGTCTGTATTTGGGATTGCAAGGATATTTTCCCCAGCATCTCCTAAGAATCTGATACCCTAACGATTGTTTAATTTTTCTTCATAAATTACATTTGCACACAGTAAAACTGTAAAGAATATATCTTGATATAAAGACCCAAGCATCCTTGACTGTTCTGGCCTAGCTTAAAAGAGCTAAATAGCCTGGAGTGACCTGCTGTGAACACATTAGGATCTTCTGCTTAGAGAATAGTTTCATTCTTATAAATATGGGAAAGAGTGTTAATGAATTTTTACATTCCTGACTTCCATTTGACTTGTCATGAATTGCTAATATCCTAATCAAGAAAATCACAGTTTTAGAATGTTTTTTTGGTATCTGAATGCGTGACCCTTGACTACTTCCATTCTTTCTTGTGCTATATTTGAAAAGATATTCTCTTAGTTCATATAGAACAAGATCTGGAGTCAAAATAAGTCCTTCTAAATTCTGTATAATAGATATCATGACATGTGTATGGTGTAACTATCACACAGATAAGTTATAACTTAGTTGGACCATACAATTTTATCTTTGATATGGGAATTTAATCTTCTCGATTAAAATTCCAAAAAATCCCAATGATTTTGTTCCTTAAATTGTGCTTGCTGCAGTGAGAGAATGAGAGTTCATAGACTAATTGAAAAGTAAATCCTATAGTAAGACTTTTACATCTACAGATCTGATGGAACATGGATAAACATACATAAATGTATTTTTAAAAGTCTGACCTCAGCATTTAAAACATATATGCTCCAACAGAACATGACCTATATATCTTGAATACATAATATTTAAAAAGCACTTCCTCCATAAGTGGAAAATTTTTAACCCTCTTTTTATTGATTCTGTAATGGATGGACAGTTGAGGGCTAGGTTAAGATTCTAGTTACGTCTCTTATTTTTCCTACTTATACCATCCAAAGTGTGCTTTTTGTCATATGGATAATAACAAGGTGAATAAATAGATGAAAGGACTGGTGAATCCTTGGGAATATAATTTAGCAATTAAAGCACAGATTCAGAAAGATGAAATTTTTCATGCTCGCATTTTTCAAGCTTTGCAGAAGTTTTGCATCTGGAAAAAAAAAGACCTCCTCTTGTGGGAAGTCAGAGCAAAGATACTGGTAAGAGGAATAAGTGTTTTAGTCATTTATTTTAATACATTCATTTGTGCTGTTCTTAGAATCCCTAAACCCCCTTATGCTTATGCCAAGTTATATATTTACTTTTGTTAGTTTATTCTTTTAGCTTTGAGTATAAAAATAACCTGAAGATAAAACAGTCAACTGGCTTTTGTCTTGAGATTGCACAACTCCACTATGTTTTTAAGTACGGAGAAAAATTTTAAGACTGATTTATTGATTGTGCAGTTAAGAAACCTCAGAAGAGCTGGATTTACAAAAAAATGGATGATTCAGATTTCTGTAGATGTGGTCAATGAATGGTATCTTCAGAACTACGCATTTTCTAGAACAACTTTGGAGAACATCTCATGAAAATACAGCCAACCCTACTTTCAAAAAAATTCCCACAGAGTACAAAAGAGTTCACATCATAGGAAGAGTGTTTGAAATCTGGTGGAGAGAACTATGATGTCCAAAATTAGAAGGCAGCATCTGCTCATTTTTCTAAACTCAGGAAGAATGGGAAATTAACTGGAGCATAAAATATCTCATTTGACCATCTGAAAAAAACCTACAGAAAAAAAACCCCAAATCCTCCAGGCTTCAAATTCTTCATCTAGATTTTAAGTTACTCCTGTCCCACTTCTGAAAATACAGAATTCTGGATCAGTCAGCTGCATAGAAAAATGCTGCCATTAATAAAATTCTTACCCAAACCCAAGTTTAAATTTGTATTTTTTTCCATAGTCTTGGGCAGCTAACCACTGAAATTAAATTAATTCCATTCCTGCTGTTCATTTTACTCTGTTTCATGTACCTCACACTGCCTGGCAGTGCACTGAAGTCCAAGGACTTTGATCAGACCCATCT